CACTCCAACACCCTTACTGAAACCCTAAACCCTGGAAACACAACTTCCAAAAACCATGAAGAGTCTCATTACCCAAGGCCCCCAAACCCTAGATCTCCAAAGCCAGAAGACTCTACGGCCCTCAACAAGCCCCTGGCTAGGGGCCTGCTATGGAGTTCATCTAGTGCATTTTTGTTTTTAAGGATCTCGCGAAACTTGATGCGCAACTCCTTCCCCGCGATATCGGAGCTTTGTGTGTGTGTGTGTGTGGGGCCTCTCATGAAAGCCACCGTTAACCCTCAACTCCACGACCTAATAACCCACAGGTGAGCAGCAAACGCGGCCTCAACTTTCAAACCGTAGAATGACTTAAACTTAAGACCCTCAAGCACCAAAGCCCTAAACCACAGGCGATTCCCGTGTATCAGCACAACTTCACCCTAGACCCCAGAAGCCGTAAACTCGAACCCCCGCCCACCCTAAAATCCCCAAGCCCTAAACCAGAACCTAACCCTAAACCCTAAACCCCCTAAACCCTTTACCCCTAAAACCTAAGCCCTGTACTCCTAAACCCTAAACCCTAAACCCTAAACCCTAAACCCTAAACCCTAAACCCTAAACCCTAAACCCTAAACCCGAAGCCCCCTGACCAGGAGCTGGTTCGACGAGACCTTTGGCTGCGGCGGCGGATGTCCAGCAGCCACGGGCTACATCTGCTGGAGCTCCTTTGCCGGCAGTACGCTTTAGGGGTTTAAGGTTTCTGGTTTAGTTTTGGGTTTAGGGTTTAGGGTTTAGGGTTTAGGGTTTAGGGTTTAGGGTTTAGGGTTTAGGGTTTAGGGTTCAGGGTTCAGGGTTTAGGGTTTAGGGTTTAGGGTTTAGGGTCATCTGCAGGAGTTCCTATGCCGGCCTTTACCAGGTTCGGGGTTCAGGGTTTGGAGTTCGGGGTTGGGTGGTTCGGGGCACCAATTCTTCAGAGTGTGGGGGAGGGCGGGGGGGGGGTGGGGGTGGGGTTTAGGGTTTAGTTTGGAATGTAGGGTTTAGGGCACGGGGGTTGGAGTACAGTTTTTCTGGTCCAAGTAGCACACGCTTGTCCAGTAAAGTTTTGGTCCAACAGGCCCCAATGTCCGGGGATGCAAAAGATGGCACTAACCCTAAACCCTAAACTAACCTCGAAACCCGAAACCCTAAACCCCAAACCCCAAATTAGGCCCGAAACCCTCTACCTCCCAAAGATGTGTGGCGCGAAGAGTTAGGGGGATTCTTCTCGCTTTCCCCAAGGCGTTAAACACGTTTACTGGGTCGCAGGCTTAAACCCTCAATTCTAAGCCCTAAACCCTAAACCTGAAGTCTCTGGAACCTGCAAGTACACCCACCGGCAGGTCAAAGTCCGGGTTGAGGGAAGTCCAGCAAGATCTTTGGAATCCCGATGCTCGGAGCGGTTTGGCGTCTCTTGTTTTTTAGGGATTTGGGGGTTAGGGTTTAGGGTTAAGGGTTTAGGGTTTGGGCAATGTAGGATTTGCCCCCCTCGGCTCAGGATGAAAAGGCCCGAGGCGTGCCATGAGCTAAAGGAGGCTTCGGGCGAGTTTTTGGGCGCCAAAGGGTTGAGGGCTTCCCCAAACAAATGTTCCTCCCGCGGGCCCCTTACCCAAGAGCCTGCTTCGAAGCCGAAAGCACAAGCTAAAAGATCGGCTCTGGAAGAGGAGTAACAGTGAGACAGAAAGAGAGAAAGAGATAGAGAGATAAACAGAGAACGAGAGAAAGAGGGAAAGAGGGAGGAAGGGATAAAGAGAAAGAGAGCCAGCCTGGTGCCCCTTTGGGGCTTTAGGGTTGAGGTTGGAGGCCTTACAAAGAGATGCCCCCGAAAGTTAGCATCCGTCATGGCAGACGGGTTGATCTCCGAGATCGAGATTCGGACACCTCGCAGACGGCAGAGGGACGTACTCGCATCCTTGGACTCCCTATTGCAATATAGAGGAAATCCACAGAATGTAGAGGTTTTCCTATTCAAGTCGAAAGAATATAGAGGTTTTCCTGTTAACATCCGAAGAGAATAGACAGATAGAAAGATACACTGCCTGGCTGGTAGAATCGTAGAAGTTTTCTGCTGCTGTATGATGTGAAGAGAGGTAGAGGGCCAGTAGATGAGACGAACGAACAGGTGAGCAGACACCTAAACCCTAAACCCTAAACCTTAAACCCTAAACCCTAAACCCTATGCCTTAAACCCTAAACCCTAAGCCCTCCAGAAAGCCCTAAACACTCAACCCTGAACCCTGAGCCCAAGCCAAGGACATTTTCTCGCGGATCGAGTCTTTCCTTCCTTACCATGCGACTCGCCGCACAGCGCTGCGCTTTACAAGTTTCGTCTTGGGTGGTTTTTGTCAGATGTTTTTGGAGCCCTACATACCCTCCACCCTGATATAAGCCCTAAACCCTAAACCCTAAACCCGAACCTTAAACCCTAAGCCCCTAATCTCAAAGGTGCTCCATACTTTGCAGGTTTGGTTCTGCGGAGGTAAGGGGTTCAAGGTTCCAGTGTTAAGGCAGTTCAGGCCAGGCTGTTCAGGGGGGGTAGGGTTTAGGGTTTAGGGTTTAGGGTTTAGGGTTTAGGGTCTAGGTTTTCAGGGCTCGTGTTCTCTCTTTTGGGGCGGTAGTTCCTTAAGTTGCACAAAGCCCAGCCTCCAGGGCTTTGGGTTCAGGTGGTTTCAGGACAACCCTTTAAGAGCCAAGCTACGGCAAGGGTACCAAAGCCCCAAAACTCAGAGCCCTACAGCCCTAAATCCTCAGTCCTGAACCCGAAACCCGAAACCTCAAACAATGCTACATCCTGATTCCTCAACCTTATTAAGCCTTAAAGCCTACAAACCCCAAAGCCCGCAGGAGCCCTAAAGCAGCACATCCTACATCATGAACCTCAACCCGATAAGTCCTAGAAGCCCTAGAAGTCCTTCATGCCCTTTAAGCCCTGTAAGCCCTACAAGCCCTAAACGTCCTAAGCCCTAAGCCCTAAACCCTAAACCCTAAACCCCAGACCCTAAACCCTAAACCCTAAACCCAAAACCCTAAACCCTAATTCCTAAACCCTAAACCCTAAACCCTAAACCCTAAACCCTAAACCCTAAACCCTAAACCCTAAACCCTAAACCCTAAACCCTAAACCCTAAACCCTAAACCCTAAACCCTAAACCCTAAACCCTAAACCCTACCCTTTTTACAAAGGAGAACCGGGACTTCCACTTCGCTGTGACTTCCATCGACCTCCCTCGACTCCAGCACTCGCAGCTGGCGTCGCTCGTCATCGCGATCTCCGAGGCCGACAACCCCCGCCTAAGCGCGCCCGAGTAGTCTGGGGTTTAGGGTTTAGGGTTTAGGGTTATAAGCCCGAAACCCTTAACCCGAAATCCTAATCCCTAAACTTAAACCTATCGAGCTCAGGATTTAGCATGGGTGTCGCGCAGGATGCCCTTACACAGGAGTCCACATGGTTTCATTTTAGGGTTCAGGGGTTAGGCTGTCTAGCTACGTGCATGGAGCGTGTATGCAATCAAGGATCGGCATTTAGGTTTCAGTCTTTCCTCAGGGTGAGATCTACAGAATCACAAGGCATCCGGAACCCAACCCAAGCTTAGCATCCCAGAGCCGATGACTCCCTAACGAGCACGCACGACAGAAAGACCGTGATATGCCCTTGGGGCATTTTATAGTTTAGGGCTTTAAGGGATTAAGGGTTTAGGGTTTAGAGTCTTTGGGATCTGTTTCTATTTTCCCTTATATATTGGGTTGAAGTGGAGCATATGCAGGATTCTTTCCATTTGTTCAAAAGGGTTTTTTAAGGGCCATCCTAGTATGTGGAAAATTGTTTGCTGGGAACGGCCTGGCTACCGAAAGAAGGTTTCTTGAGTTCTGGCTTGCGGAGCTCCCTCTCCCACGTTGAACCCTTTGAAGGGTCCATGTACCTCGTTCTTGTAAACTTGGGCATAGGAGGTACTTCATGGCCTAAGTTATTCCTATGTAGTTAGGTACATGGACCCTTATAGGGACCTGCAGCAAGAGCAACTTGCAGTTCCATTGCTGGCAGTGTTGCTGGAGTGCAAGGATGAGTTCCCTGTTGTTTTGCCAAAGCCTCCCCCCTAATTAACCCCCCCCCCCCCCCCCCAGCCCCTAATATTAAATACTCCCATCATGATTCTACTATAGTAGATGGGAGGGGGGGGGGTCGAACATTAGGGGGAGGGGTGACAGTAATGATGATGACCCACCCCAAACCCCAAACCCCAAACCCCAAACCCCAAACCCCAAACCCCAAACCCCAAACCCCAAACCCCAAACCCCAAACCCCAAACCCCAAACCTAAACCCTAAACCCTAAACCCTAAACCCTAAACCCTAAATACGTAAATAGGGTGTCTAAATATCCGGTAGATGGAGGTTTTGCTTAATGCACCACCTAGAATGAAGTCCCTGGGACCCAAATACGTAAATAATGCAACCAAGATGCGAAGATTGTGCTTAAGACCCTCAAGACGACAGGCCCACCGCTCCAGCCTTTTCGATCAAAAACAGCCTCAGCGTCCATGTGTCATCCTTGCGCAGGGGCCAATGCCTAGCTTCACGCACTCCCCCTCACACTTCCCGCCAAAGGAAGTGTGACAGGAGCCCACCGGAAAAAATACATCACAAAGGATCAGCACTAGGACTGAATTGGCCCCCACATGCACACCATATGTCGATCGTTGGCCTTTCTGTACTAGGCCGACTTGCTCCTTCAGAGTAAGTATTGATCATGGTTTGATTGGGACAAAAACCTCCTGTACAGTACTCTGCTTCAGAGCACAGGTATCCCCTACACAGATAAGTAGACTTGAGACCAAAAGACCCTTCTCAAACCCCCAAAGACTTAGCAGTGAAGTTCTAAAAGCCCAGGCACTAAGCCGGAAAGAGTCGTCGGTCCTTCATCTACACACCATCACCTGACCCTTAAACACCGCGTCGGCAGTCTTTCTTTTGGACCTTCCAGAGGAGTCAACCCGAGGATGAAGACCCGCTATCACGAGCTCGCTCTCTGAGCCGATTTCCGACTAGCCAAAGAAACTCATCTCGAACCTCCTCTGGATAGCCCTCAGCTTCCACGCTATACCCTGCCCTCCACAGACAGTAGAGTATTCGCGCTCGGTGCTTGATGCCATCAGGCAACGGCAAAGGAACTTCTACTAGCTCCCTTGTTTGACTCTCGGCTGTTCTAACGGCACTGCGGCGACATTTTCGCCTGAATGCCCGCAAGATTTCCCACGTCCCAACAGTGAGAAGGATCTTAAAGACTTCCCACCAACATGAACCTTGGAGATCTCCTTCAGATTCGCTTCTCGGCGTCACAACATCTTCGATGGTTGAGCGGATTTGCAAGGCCTGTTGCTCGCTACCTAGGCTACATGTTCCAAGATCCTCATCAAGCGCCTCCGCAATCACAATGCACCCAAGAAACACCCAACAAATGAGGACAGCTATCAACACAGACCACCAATTCGCCTTACACACAGCCCTGACGTTCCAACATCCAACTCCGAAACCAAGCGAACTTTCTTCCCCAGGCCCCTGAGACATCAAGCCGTAAAACCCGGACCAATCACCCTGGTTCAGTCCTACAACAACCTCCTGTAGAGCCCCTAAACTCCACCCAGGAAGAGGAATCACCTGAAGATCATCAACGTACAGAACCCAAATTTCCTCCTCTGCAGCTACATATGTTAGGGTTCCCTCTACAGCCTCTGAACTTTGCGCCAAGCCGTCACCGTGCGGCTCACAAGCTCGGACCTCGCTGGAAACCGCACTCTCGCTGCTAAAGACTTCCGAGAATACCGAGGGTTCGGTCGTAGAGATTGATTCTTCTTCCTCGGATGACTCAAGACCGAAGTCTCCGATGTCAAAGAACTGAGCCCATGCCGGAACACGTAACGGAGGATCCCCAACAGGCTCAACCCCATGAGGCACAGCATCTATCCCAGGATCATCAAAATGACTAGAAACACTGCTCTCAAAATCATCGTCAACGTCTTCCGGCTCTTGGACCTCTGACCCAGCACGATCTCCCGCTTGGTCGGCATCAGCAGCCCTCATGTCAATCCTACCTTGTCTCAGATATGACTCAACCGCTTCAAACCACTGAGGACCACTAAACCACGCCGCCAACCTACCACGTCTGAGTTCCTCTACTACAGCACACACTACTCCAGCTCTTATATGAGCACATGATGCTCTGAGACACGTCCACTCAACCGTAAGCTCACTCAAATAACCCAGTATCCTTTCACCCTGCTTCACAAGAAGATGCGCTAAGTAATGCATTTCGCAGACTTGGCCAGTAAGTGGAAATACTGCGAGCTCAATCGTCCCATCGGATTCCTCATAATCTTCGCTGCGATCAGGAGTCTCAACACAAATGTCATGCTTCAGCTCCTGCGTTCCACTGTTAAAGGTGCTTCCCCCAACCTGAACATTTGAAGAAGGCACTGAACCGCTTGAAGTGCTTCCCCCAACCTGAACGTTTGAAGAAGGCACGGAAAGGCTTGAAGTGCTCCCCCCAACCTGAACGTTTGAAGAAGGCACGGAAAGGCTTGAAGTGCTCCCCCCAACCTGAACGTTTGAAGAAGGCACCGAAAGGCTTGAAGTGCTCCCCCCAACCTGAACGTTTGAAGAAGGCACCGAACCGCTTGAAGTGCTCCCCCCAACCTGAACGTTTGAAGAAGGCACCGAACCGCTTGAAGTGCTCCCCCCAACCTGAACGTTTGAAGAAGGCACCGAATTTCCTGAAGTTCTCCCAAACTTAGACGCCAGATCACCCTGAACTCCCTGAGCTTCAGCTGGCATTCCGAGGCTGTTCGAGGTCATCAGTTCATCAGAGCTATCAAGGATACTGTTTTGCCCAAGCACACCTTGCAAGGAACCAAGTTCACAACCCCTTTTTCTATCGAGCCATAACTTCTCAGTAGAGCCCTCAGACCCTGCTAAACCCCGAAGTCCAACAAACCACCGACCCCAGACTAACAACACCACCAAAACGATACAGCCCCAAGCCCAGCACGCGAAACTCCAGAAACTTTCTATCTCAGCCTCTGGCTGAGCAACAACCCAGGGGAGGGAACCTAATGCAACTCCACACCCTCCACAGTTCCTCACCGATACACCCCCAACTCTGGGAAGAGCAGCAAGGAGAAGGGCAGCAGCCAATACGCTTGGACATGCCTGTGGTCCATCTAAGCACCCTTTTGCCAACCGACTAACAACCCTGGCCGGATTCTCAAGTTCCCCTGAACACCCCTTACTTCGAACTGCTAATAGCTCGAGCAACTGAAAGATTCTCGCCCTAGCAAGTGGCTTTGTTGCCAAGTCCGCGACTTGCTTCTCACCAGGGATAAACGTAACGACAAGCGATCCGGCCTGTATGCGTTCCCTTCCTGCAGCCGCCCGCATCCTCAAGTGTCGGTTCCTCCACCCAAGGCTGCCACTTGAGAAAGCTCGAACTGCTGCTTGATTGTCGCACAACGCCGAAATCACTACATCATCAGCGATCAATTCTTCGATGATTGCTCCCACGGATTCTGCTGCTACGATTCCAGCCACCACTGAAACCAGCTCTGATTCCGCGGACGATAACGTCACAAATGGCTGCTTCGATGCTTCCCAAGCTATTAACATGCCACACCAGACAAGGAAGATCGCTTGGCAAGATCGTCCACCCTCCGGCGCGTGAGATGCGTCGGTGAAGAGTTCCAGCGTGCTCAGCGTCCTTGGCACTGGCGCATCACACCATTCACTGCCTCCTGACAATCGATACTCGATACCCACATCGACTGTTCCGTACAAGAACCTTAGGACTTGATATCCAACCTGGATCACTGCATTCGGCGCTCTCACAGCATACTGCCCCATCTTGCTGACCGCGAAAGCAACGTCAGGCCGACTCTTTGTCGAAGCCCAAAGTAAAGCACCTGTGATGCCCTGTGCTTCCCTCACTTTTTCCGGATTCAAAGGTTGCTCATCTGCAGGGTCACTCCACTTGAGCAATGGTGAACTTGCACTGCAGGTAATGTTATATCGCGAAAACAACTCCTGAAGATAGTCCGATTGCGAAATGCGGAACCCGTTGTCAAGAGCTTCAAGTTCCAACCCGCAAAACTTCACGGCCTTGCCTCGAGAGATCCACGTAGGTTCAGACAAAGTCCAAACTTGTTGAATATCCCTTATGAGCGCGCTGAGTAGATCAACCGGACCCAATGCCAAAATGTCATCTACGTAGACCAACATGATGGCTCGCCAGGTGCAATCCGCGCAGTTGTCCTCTAGAACATACCAGAAAGACTCGTCCGAGATCGACTGCCTTAAGACATAGAACTTATCCCCGCTGGAGAACTTGAATGTGGTCAAGATTTTATCCCTGTGGACGGCCCACGCCCTTGGCGCTTGCCGTAGTCCGTATAGCGCCTTGACGACGCGCCATCTGTCACGCTCCTCCATGAGCCCCATTTCCACAAGAATGGAAGGCGGTCGGACGATTATGACCTCCTCGGTTCCGCTCTCAAAGCCACACTCCAAAGGTGCGTTCAGGAACGCTGTCTTTATATCAGCACTTACTCCAGACCACGACTGTTGAGTGGCAAATGCTATAGCTACCCGCAAGGTCACGCCCTCAACTCCACTCGCGTAGAGATTTCCAGCCTCGCCCTCAGCTTGAGGAATGAAGTTTCCGCATGCTACACATCTAAATCGTCTCTTGCCGACCCCGGCCTTCCTGGTGAGCACAGCCTTACCTGGGACCTGTACCACCCGATGGCCCGCCTTGACAAGCTCCTCAATTTCAGGGATTTGGATGCGCCACACGGCTTTGTGAACGTCTTCAAGTGAAGTGACTTCTTCCTTTGCGGACGGAATCCACATGGATAGTTCCTGCCGTGCTTCCCCGATGGACACCGTTCTGGTTTGAAGAAAAAGTTCAGCTGCAACTGTTGAGCCATCATCGCCATTCAAAGGAACATCGGTCTGCAAAACCTTCACGGTGAAAACAGACTCCCTTAGATACTCATCCCAGAGCAGTCCCTCGTACCAATCCCGTTCGGACTCAGCGTTCTGCAACAACCTCAACGAATCGCCGAAGTCAACCTCAACCTCATTGAAACCGCTTATCTCTTGAGACAGAACACGGCAGAGCCTAATGGCATTGGAATGCGATGCAACTGTACGATCCGTCCAACCTTCATCCTTAATCTCATATGGGAACTCAACTTCCCATTCAGTGCCATCCTTCACCCAAATTTGAGAATCCAGATCAGACTCACACGAGACTCCCTCAGGATACAATGCCAAACCCTCATGTGCTTTCACCCTAGCATGATCCATGCCAAAGCAACAAGTCTGCACTGCCGCATTCGTCAACCCCTCGATCGGAAAGCCAAGCTCCTTGAGAGAACCCTCAAACTCCGAAAGTGCAGATTCGTAACCCCGGGGCACATAAGCCGCTATAACCCATCGATCTCCTCCACACCACGGCTCAGAGGTATGCCACTTGAGGCCCTGAAACCGGGCAGACGAAGCGTGGATATCAAGGACCTGACCAGTCTTAACCGTGCCATCTGGAAGACACTTGACCCCCCAATGGCTCCAGACTCCGCCCATCTCAAAAGCTGCCAAAACACGCTATCATCCTCAAGGTCGCTCCCAAACCCCTTTCCAACTTCAACGACACGGCCCAACCCCTTAAGCTTAGGCCCCGTCGCAAACAGTCGCACCAGAACATGACCCCTAGGCCCCTTAGCAATGCTTCTTCGAAACCTGCGGTTCCATTTGCCTGCACAAGCACTCGCTAGCCCATCCTCGCAGGAAGCCTTGCAAGCCCTATCAATGCAGACAGTCGGCAACGATGGAAAAACGGCACTCAGGAAGAACTTCAAATCAGTGCACTCTACGCGGCCAACCAGCTTCACACGAGATGCTAGCCACTGTCGAGCATTTTCCTTACAAAGGCCCTTCGGAAGATCACACTGACCCGACCCATCGACAGCCCTGATCCCTGGGTTCTCCTTCCTAGCTTCGTACTCTTCCAACAACCGAAGACCATCTTCCCTAGAAATAAGAGGACAGCCCTTCACCACCTTAACGTCTAGCCTTGATCCCGAGGCTTTCTTGATCTTACATCCTCGCTTGCGCCAAGAGATTTCATATCCGAGCTCTACCAGATAACCAGCCGGGAGAATCAGCTGACAAGGCGAGGAGCTCAGCAGAGTACCCGAACCATTAACGTGAAGGTCTGCACCCCCCGAAGCTAGGTCAACCTTGATCGCCCTTGCCTTCTCTATCTCCCCCGGCTGCGCTTGCCGCAGAGCGTTTGTCGCCCCTGAATCTATAAGAGCATAGCGAGCATCCGAAGCCGAAGCGATTGCTGCAATCACCCAAGCTGGATCTATCCCGAAATCCGACGCCCTAACAGCCTTTAGCGTTACGCCTTTGAGGATCTTTGCGGCTTCAGCGATCAATGCTTCGGACGCAGCGTTCGAAGTCACATCCACAGTTCCCGATGCATTTTGAGCCTTCGAACCAGGCGGCGGAGACTCTTCAGTCACCCCTTTTGCCTGTGCAGGCGCCTTTGCCTTGGCCTTTGGGTTAGGGGCACCCTTGGAAGCAGATGAAGGAGAGGAAGCCTTAGAAGATGCATCAACCGGAACCTGCCTTTGCTCAGCAGGAACCAAAGGACAATCAGGCCTGTAATGACCCTTCTGACCACAAGCTAGGCACCTACCCTGCTTCCTAGCCTCTGGCCGATCATGTTTAAAAATGCACGAATCCCCAAACTTACAACCCGTGGCGTCAGAGAACCTCGTACACGAACCTTGGCCAGCTCCCTCCTTGGCTTTCCCCTTCCCTTTCCCTTTTGACTTACCTCCCTCAGGACCCCCCTGATCAGGCACCACAGCTGCGGACACCGAGGGACCCTTAGGTGGAACCGGCGCTTCCTTATCCTTAGCCTGAGGAGCAACAGCAGCAGCTCTATGTCTATTTGCTACCCCGTCCACAACAAGCGAAGCCGCCTCACACTCTGCCTGGATTAGCCTCACCAACTGGACCACCCCGGGGACGGTGGGATTGTAGTCCAAACCCGACCTATGTCGAAAGGCGTTGACTCTAAACCCAATCATAGGAGCCCCGCCCAAGAGAGAGACAGTGGAGGCATCTATCCCTTTCACTAAGAGGGAAGGGTCCGGTAGCGTTGCCCCAATTTCCTTTGCCCTAGTAAGGTTTTGACCCCACCTTCTTAGCCCAGATACCGCATCTTTGTGGTTTTTAAACACCTCAGGATTGACTAGCTGAGACAACAAATGCGCCCTCTCACTGGCCCCGCCCGGCTGATAGATGCACATGACCCGGAAAAGTATCGATGAGGTGGTCAACCACCTGTTTGTTATGACATCTTCCTTCAGGTTCGCAGGCAAACTTGCCAGAAGCAGAGTAACCGCCCTACTCTCAACACGCTGGAACAAAACCGAATCAAAAGGAGCAACCACCATACCCGGATCCAGCCCTAAACGCCCAAGAGGATCAGCCGTCAACCACTGATTGTACCACTTTGTTGCCGCAACCTCGACACAGTTGAACCAAACATCAGCGCTGGGGGACAAGCCCTGAAAGATCTGCCTCACTTGGGCCAACCAGTTGCCACAAACCACCGCTGAACAAGTTAGATCTGCAGACACCAGCTTAGGTAGCTCCTGGATGTACTTGGCGGGTTCCTCTGGCCTATTCCCTGACGCTGGAGCCCCGACATCACCGATACCAAGCCCCAATCTTCCACCCAGACTCCCCTCACCGACAGGGCGATCTTCCAACCGCTGCACCCCGAGTCCCCCACTAGGCTGCCGCGGCGAAAGCGGCGGCGGTCCAGGCGGAGGCCGAATAACCGTGCCCCCAGGAGATACAGGATATCCTTCATGATCGAAACCTCTACCAGAATTAATCCCTCCTGACCTAGGCGTGTGATATCCAGACTCTTCCTGCCACCCAGAACCCGCTACCGCAACCCCAGCAAACTGCCTCAGAGTCTGAGTTCCTGGAGCCCGTTGAGGATTTGGGACTTGACGCTGAACAACTACCTCCCAATTCGGCAAAGCAACATCTTGAGGACACCCACAGCTCACAGGTGGAGACACCCCCGAAGCCTCAAACCGATGCTGATCCATGAAGGAATGACCCTCTAGCGGTTGTGTCATTGTTGTAGGTCCTTGGGGCCTTGCTCGCAAAGAAGACTGCTGCTGCCCAGAAGCGACTGACGACCCTAAACCATCCGGCCCCGATACACCAACCGACGTACAATCAACCCTTCTGTCAGGACCTGGGAAATCCATCGCACTAACGGTTGCACACTGTACATTGACACTACGGTGATCTGGGGCCATCATGAATTCAGAAGCTCCACGTCCTACTGCAAACGAAGCTGGCGACATCCATGGCGCAAGTTCCTGTGGAGTTCCGGCACTGTGCCATGAAGATTGTGACTCGACTTGCTCAAGCCTTCGTTTCAGCGCACGGTTCTCCTCAATCACCTGTTCCAGCAAGTACTCGATCCTACTTCCCGGCTCAGTGGCAGGGATCAACTCTCGTTGATCGTCACCCTCTGGTCTCCCTCTGTCACTTTGAGACACATGAACACGCTGCTCAGCTCCCAAAATGTCCTGAACCTGAGCGTCACAATCTTTCACCCCAGAGCCAGATCCGTCCGCGCCTGCCAAATTCAGCCCAACAGCTTCCCCATTCCTTTCAGGAGAAGTCACGCTGCCGGACGTCTCAACTCTGGCCACGCGTGGAGCCATCCCTGCACTCCTCAGAGGTCCAAGTGATGTCGCGTAGTTCGGTTCCAAGCTCGCGTCTCGGTACGTATCACCCAAGGCCGCCTCGTTGACCTCAGGACAAAGCCGGCTGGCATCATCATCCAGTGTGTTCGGCCTTGTTCTCTTCAAAGCAACTTCCGCCTTGACCTTTTCGCTATGAAAAGGGCTTGCTATCGGGAGACGTGTGCTCTCTAAGCATTCGGCAGCTTCTCCCGATTCTAACATACCAGGTGATGCATCACCTGACCACGTAGCTCCTCCAGGATTAGCCGCACTAGCGAATCCCTGGCTCAAGGCTGCTTCATAGTTGTAATCTTGCGGTACACTTCTTTCCTCCTGCTCATCTGCCACGCCCGCCCTTCTTCTTCGGGCCAGCTCTTCCATGGCTCAATGACTACGGAGGTTTGCACTAAAGAACCCAACCAAACTAGCCCAAGAGCAACCTACAGGCTGATAACCTACGTAAATAGGGTGTCTAAATATCCGGTAGATGGAGGTTTTGCTTAATGCACCACCTAGAATGAAGTCCCTGGGACCCAAATACGTAAATAATGCAACCAAGATGCGAAGATTGTGCTTAAGACCCTCAAGACGACAGGCCCACCGCTCCAGCCTTTTCGATCAAAAACAGCCTCAGCGTCCATGTGTCATCCTTGCGCAGGGGCCAATGCCTAGCTTCACGCACTAAACCCTAAACCCTAAACCCTAAACCCTAAACCCTAAACCCTAAACCCTAAACCCTAAACCCTAAACCCCCCTCCCCCCTCCCTTCTTACGACCTCTCTAAGCCCCGCCTGCGCAAGGCCGGCGTCGAGAGCGGCGCGCAGCTTGCCATGGGGTGTAGGGTTGCAGTTTAGGGTTTAGGGTTTAGGGTTTAGGGTTTATAGGGTTCTAAATTCCAGTGGCCCATGGTGTGGGGGGACATTGTGGGGCTATAGGGCACTATCGGATGTAGATGGTTTATGGGTAGGCTTTAGGGCTTAGGGTTTTCAGGGTTTAGGGTTTATTGTCAAAGGGAAGTTGCATGGTCCCTTAGTACGGTCCCTTACCTGCTTCAGAGGGTTGTGACGTCTGGGCCCTTGGGTTTCACAGCGTAGGTAAGGGTTCCCGAACTAAGGGCCCATGTGAAGGGATCATGTAGCTACCTTCAGACTTATGGGGGGAACCTAGTGGTATGGGGGGAACCTAGTGGGGGGTTGTATAGAGGGGGGGTAGTAGGGGAGAACCCATGAAGGTATAGCACTCTCTTCGTGTCGGCTTGTCTCTCCCACGCCTGGCGCGTCGTCCAGATGGACTTCTGGGTCGTTCTGCCGCTCTGATGCCATGGAATCCATGGGACCCTACCCACCTTGGAGGTTCAGGATGCTTTTATCCACGGTTTAGGGTTTAGGGTTTGGGGTTTAGGGTTTGGGGTTTGGGGTTTTGGGTTTAGGGTTTAGGGTTTTTGGTTTTAGGTTTTAGAGTTGGAAGCCAATTATTACCTTACTTTAAACCTGACCCACTACACCCGGAGGCATTGCCTGCCTTGGCTTGTTTGGGGTCTGTTTCGGGCTCCTGGGACTACTCAGTCTAGGAGCTAAAGATAGACGAACATCACACATGTTTCTCACATGTTTATACACTACCTGTTTCGTGCCTAGCAGTTTCAGGGCCGCTGTACCATTTCAGTCTTCAGCATCTGCTGCCCCCCCCCCCCCCCCCATACCGTAAACTTCAGACCCCAAACGATGTTCCCCCTTATACTAACAGTCCTTCATGGGGATTATAGTATAGTACCCCCTAGTAGAATCTGATCGTGTCCCCCCAAGCCTCACCCCTTTAAGGGCTAGTGGGGTTAGAGTTCGGGCCTAGGAAGACCTTAAAAGCCTCGTCCCAAAATATGCTCCCCAGTGGCTACACCCCCGCTCCTTCCCTGGAATCCTGAGCCTTGAACCCTGCACCCGAAACCCTAAACTTAAAACCCAAAAACCCTAACCCCCTTCTGCAGGTCTTCAGGCCTTTTAGGACGCCCTGTCAGCAGTATATCGTGGTTATCATAGACCAGGCCTAAAGCACCCCAAAAATTTTGCACCCTGTAGCCTTCAACCTGAGGTTGGGCATTAAGCCCTAAAGGACCCTAAATCCCAAAGACACGAACCCCGAAACTCCCCCCTGGGTCTTAGTAGTGAATGAGGGAATTAGGGCCCTATATATACCCTCTAAGTGATGATATAGGGTACCTCATTCCCTCAATCCCGACTAAGAGCCCTAAACCCTATACCGTAAACCCTAAACCCTAAACCCTAAACCCTAAACCCTAAACCCTAAACCCTCTCAGGCTTTTGCGTGTTTGGTTCTTGGTCCTCCTCATGTTCCTGGCTGGCGATGCGCGGAACAAGCTGAAACCCTCAGGGGCCACCTGCCTGCTCTTCAAGGGTTTAGGGTTTAGGGCTTTAGGGTTTAGGGTTTAGGGTTCTTCAAGGGTTTAGGGTTTAGGGTTTAGGGTTCTTCAAGGGTTTAGGGTTTAGGGCTTTAGGGTTCTTCAAGGGTTTAGTGTTTAGGGTTTAGGGATTAGGGTTCTTCAAGGGTTTAGGGTTTAGGGTTTAGGGCTTTAGGTTTAGGGTTTAGGGGTTTAGGGTTTAGGGTTGAGGGTTTACGTACTTGCAGGTTCATGAGTAGTTATAAGTGGGGTTGTAAGTAGGGCAAGTATGGTTTTAACGTGGGTAACACAGGTTTGGTTGGGCCTTGTGCTGCATGCCCCTGCTTCGGGTTCAGGGTTTAGGGTTTAGGGTTTAGGGCCAAGGGTTTAGGGTTTAGGGTTAGGGTTTAGGGTGCTTTTATATACATGGAGGATCGGGGAACTTAGTTAGGAACTAGGGTCAGAAGTACCTTAGTTGGGCGGGGTAGTAAGTAATAAGTATTTCTAAGCATATCTACCTTACCTTTAACCCCACTTACTAGGTAAAGTCCCCTGATCCTTTACCCTAAACCCTAAACCCTGCTCGGGGTGTCAGGGATGCAGACGATCACCTAGACTGTCTTTGGGCGTGCTCAGATTTTGCAAGTAATAACCCCTGGATGATCTTTGCCATGTCATCTATGTCTCTTCTTTGAAGTTTCTGTTTGGGGGCATCATGTGCATACTGCAGTTTTGGAAAGTGATACTCGGCCCTAAGCCCTTAACCCCAAGCCCAAAAGCATCGGCATCAAGGTCACCCTCTTCCTGCTGTTCATCTTCGCTGTGTGGGAAGCAGGGACACATATGCTCGAAGCTGTGCCACTGGGCTTAGGGGGGGCCCTTGGGCTTCTAACAGGGTCTAGGGTTTAGGGTTTAGGGTTTAGGGTTTAGGGTTTAGGGTTGGCGCACGCCTCCTCCGATCCAAACCTTAAACCCGCAGGTTCCTTAAGCCCAGACCTCCTGCCTCCAGCGACACCGCCGTTTTCATTTCAGCAGAAGAGCTTAGTACATAAGCGCATGGAAGTATCGGGGTTTGCGAAAATCGGCGACCCAAAATAGCCCCCCCCTAAATAGTAGGATTCCCTTATAATACGGACCCCAATAACGTACCCCTAATGTCGTAAACCCCCCGTATAGGGAGGAAAGGGAATTCTCAAAGTCCCTGCGCGTTAAACGTTCCCTAAACCCTCCTACCCCTAAACCCTCCTAACCCTAAACCCAAAAACCCTAAACCCTAAACCCTAAACCCTAAACCCTAAACCCTAAACCTAAACCCTCAACCCTAAACCCCCCTTAGCCCCCCAAACCTTAGCAGCAAGCTCCGAGCACTACTCCCTTCCTGGTAGCCCAGTGGTAACCCCCTTTACTTTGTGGTGCTTTACTGTAACCTTACATCTTTAGCCTTTTTGGGTTTATTGGGTTCCTAAGAAGGCAGCTAAAAATTAAAATTTATAGCTACCCTGCTAAGAGCAGCCAAGTTTACACATTTCTTCGTTAGTTCTGGGTTTCCTTATAAAGTAACCAATCCCAACAGATGAATGCCCTCATTACTTCTCCAACAGCTGAACTTTAAGCTTTTTGGGTTTCCTCATTTAGTAGGATTAATAAAGTTTAACCTTTTCTTCCCTTGGGAATTGGAGAAGTAAGATTGTTATGATATTGCTACTGGGATTTGATTTCCTCACCCCAGGATCCTGGCCGGCCTGGGTGCCCAAGCCCCGAATTCCGAGTTATTGGTGCCCGAATTGCTGAACTCTACACCCTGCCTAAGCCACAAGCCCTAAGCCCTAAACCTAAACTCTAAACCCTAAACCCTAAACCCTAAACCCTAGCCCTAAACCCTAAACCCTAAACCCTCCAAGAGCTCCATGCACCAAGCAGACCTCGAAGTTAGGTCCTTTTTGCACCTGCGGCCGCCTCCCCCGGAGACCCGGGTGCATTTCAGCATATCTAGGTTGGTTTTTGGAACCTTTTTGTAGTTTCCTTATTTGGGTTTATAAGGGACCCTACATATAAATGAACCTTTTTGTAGTTTCCTTATTTGGGTTTATAAGGGACCCGACATATAACTATTTTTCAGAGGGTTCAAAGGCCAACCCAGATATTTCAGCTCCTTTCTAGGTAGGACCTTTTGGGTTTGTTGGGTTTGGGGTTTGCGTTTTTTGGGGTTGGGTTATGTATGTTCGATTTTTCCTTCAGAGTTCAAGGGGAGCACTTTTCGGATGTCGTTTCACGGGGCTTGCCTCTAGGGCCATTCTAGTGTCAACAAAGCTGGAGTTTCATAACGTTAGGGGCCGCCTTGATGCCACCCAAAGATGGTCGAGCTTACTTCAAAGGATCTCCCCCGCCCAAAAAAGAAATGCACAAACACACAAATAAACAACACAAATAAAGACTGTAATAGGTCAGATGGGTATCAACCCCCCCCCCCCCCCCCCCAGCCCTGAACCCGCAGGAGTCGGGCCGTTGGAAGATGATTGCAGCCCTCGTCTGCTACATTTCCCAGTGGCTTGGGCTGAGTTCTTTGGATCACTCATGTTTAGGGTTTAGGGTTTAGGGTTTAGATTTTTACTTTGTGATGATCTCCGTGGTTGGTGTAGGGATTAGGGTTCTTACCTTGGGATGTTCCCCCTGACACTAACATTCCTTAATGGGGATCATGAATATAAGAGGGGGTCTATAGTCCCTATTAAGGACGGTTTGTATAAGGGGGAACATCCCAAGCTCCTACCCCAAAAAAACCCAAACCCCAAACCCTCCCTAAACCCAAAACCCTAAACCCTAAACCCTAAACCCTAAACCCTAAACCGAGCAGTCAAGGTCGTTTTGGACCTTTCACGCGGCTTGGCTTTGGAGGCAAAATCTCGGAGTGCGTTGTAGGAAGGCTCAGCCTCCTAAACCCTAAACCCTAAACCCTAAACCCTAAACCCTAAACCCTAAACCCTAA